ACTCACTACACCATCAGAGACAAATATAGACTGAAAGTCAAGTGATGGAAAAAGATATTCCACACAAAGAGAAACAAAAAAAAAAGCATGATTTGGCATACTTAAGTCAACAACAGTAAACAAAGATAAAGAAGGTCATTATATAATGATAAAGGGATCAATTCAACAACAGGATATAACAATTTTAAGTATATATGTACCTAAAACCAAAGCACCCAAACATAAACAAATATTATTAAATCTAAAGGGAAAGATAGACTGTGATACAGTAATAGTAGGAGGTCTCAGACCTCCACTTTCAACAATAGACAGATAATCTAAACAGAAAATCAACAAAGAGACATTGAGCTTAAATTGCACCTTATACCAAATGGACCTAACAGATATTTACAGAACATTCCATTCAACAACTACAGAATACACATGCTTCTCAATCACACATGAAGCATGCTCCAGGATAGATGATATGTTAGGACACAAAATAAGTTTTAAAAAAATTTTAGAAGACAGAGTATTTTTTCTGATCACAATGGTATGAACCTAGAAAGCAACAACAGTAAAAACTTCTAAAACGTTATAAATACATGGAAATTAAACAACATGCACCTAAATAACCAATGAGTTAATGAAGAAATTAAAAGGGTAATTTAAAATTTTTGATACAGATGAGAATCGAATCATATGAAAACCTATGGGATACAGCAAAAGCAGTCCAAAGGTCAAAGTTTATAACAATAAATGCCTATATCAAAAAAGAAGAAAGATTTCTAATAAACATCTTAATGATATACCTCAAGAAACCAGAAAAGCAAGAATAAACTGAACCAAAAGTGTTAGAAGAAAGAAAAGAATAAAACTCAGAGCAGAAATGAACAAAATAGAAACTAGAAAGATACTTTAAAATATCAATGAAACAAAGAGTTGCTTTTTTGAAAAGATAAACAAAATTGACAAATCTTTAGCTAGACTAAGAAAGAACAAGAAAAGACTCTAATAAAATCAGACAAAAAAGATGTTACAACTGATACCTCAGAAACACAAAGGATCATAAGAGACTATTGTGTATAGTTCTATGCCAACAAACTTGATAACTTAGAAAAATTGGATAAATTCCTGGACACACACAGCCTACCAAGATTTAATTATGAGGAAGTAGAAAGACCCCTGTCTCTCACTGTATACAAAAATCAATTTTAAATAGATTAAAAACTTAAATGTAAAAGCTGAAAGTATAAAGTAACTAGAAAAACACATAGGAAAAACAATTCATGACATTGGGTTGGGCAAAGATTTTTTAGATAAGACCTCAAAAGCACAGGCAACAAAAGCAAAAATAGACAAATGGGATTATATCAAATTAAAAAGTTTTTGTACAACAAAGGAACCAATTAACAGAGTGAGAAGAGAAAGTACAGAATGGGAGAAAGTATTTTCAAATTATACATCTGACAAGAGGTTAATATCCAGAATACAGAAAGAACTTAACATCAAAAAAAATTGAATAACCCCTTTAAACAATGGGCAAAAGACCTTAATTAACATTTCTTGTAAGAAGTCCTATAAATGGCTGACAGATATATAAAAAAAATGGTCAATATCAGCAATCATCAGGGAAATGCAAAGCAAAACCAAAATGAGATACTACTTCACTCTACTCCAGTTAGAATGGCTAGTATAAAACAAGACAAATGAAAACAAGTGTTGGTGAGAATGTGGAGAAACGGGAGCCCTTATACGTTCCTAGCAGGGATGTAAATTAGTACAGTCATTATGGAAAACAGTATTGAGGTTCCTCAAAAAATTAAGAACAGAACTACCATACGATCCAGCAATTCCACTACTGGTTATACAAAGGTACTTCAGAAAGTCTGTGGGCAAATAGAATTAAAATATAATATGAATCTTTCCATGAACTTTTTTTTTTTTTCCTTTTTGTCTTTTTTCGTGTCCAGCAATGGATCGCAACCCTCAGTGTCGCGCCCGTACCGGACTGGGACCGGCAATGGGATCGCAAACCTCGGTGCTGCGCCCGCACCTCGCTCAGCCAGTGAGCGGGAACCGGTCTGTATGTGGGATCCGAACCCTCGGTGGGAGCGCGGCAAACAGCGCACTGTAGCAGTGCGCCACCGGGCCAGCCCTTTCCATGAACTTTTTAATGTTCCATCATATATCCAAAGGAAATGAATTCAATATTTCAAGGAGATACCTGCACCCTTATGTTTATTGGAGTGCCATTCACAATAGCTAAGACGTGGAATCAAACTAAATGCCCAGCAACAGATGAATGGATAAAGAAAATGTTTTACATCTACACAATGGAATACAATTCAGCTGTAAAAAATATCCTGTTGTCTGAAACAAAATGAATGAAACTGGAGAACGTTATGTTAAGAGAAATAAGGCAGACACAGAAAGGCAAATACTGCAAGATCTCACTCATACATGGAATCTAAAAATAAGTTGTCTCATAGAAGTATGGAGGAGAATGGTGGTTACCAGAGGCTGGGGAGAAGATAGGTGAAAGAAGGAAGGGCAGAAGTTGGTCAACAGGTATAAAACTTAAAATTAGGTAGAGGAAATAAGTTTTGATGTTCTATTTATTGTACAGTGGGATGAGTATGGTTAACACTAAGTTATTGTATACTATAAAATAGCCTAAAGAGAGGTTTTTGAATGTTATCACCTTAAAAAAATGATAAATGCATGAGGGATGACTATGCTAACTACCCTGATTTGATCATTATACAATGTATACATGTATCAAACATCAAATTGTATCCCATAAATATGTACGATTGTGTCAATTAAAAAAAACTTGCAGCAAGGACATACTTTATTTATCTATCTATCTATTTATTTATTTATTTATTTATTTATTTATTTATTTATTTATTTATTTATTTATTTATTTATTTATTTATTTATTTATTTATTTATTTATTTATTTATTTATTTATTTATTTATTTATTTATTTATTTATTTATTTATTTATTTATTTATTTATTTATTTATTTATTTATTTATTTATTTATTTATTTATTTATTTATTTATTTATTTATTTATTTATTTATTTATTTATTTATTTATTTATTTATTTATTTATTTATTTATTTATTTATTTATTTATTTATTTATTTATTTATTTATTTATTTATTTATTTATTTATTTATTTATTTATTTATTTATTTATTTATTTATTTATTTATTTATTTATTTATTTATTTATTTATTTATTTATTTATGCTTTTTCCTTTTTAGACAAAACTAATCATCTCCCAAACAAATCAGGCATGATTGACGGCTTTGCTTCCATCTACCAGAACCATATAGTAGAGTACTCAATCAAGCATTATGTCTTAAAGTATGGTACTTGGACCACCACCATCAGTATCAACTAAGAGCTTCTTAAAAATACAGTAATTTATGACCCACTCAATATCTACTGAATCAAAACATTTATTTTAATGAACTCTTCAGATGAGTCCTTTTCACATTAATGTTTAAGAAGCACTGTATTAAAGCACCTTGTTATTACCAAGTGTGTTAGAACTGGTGTGTGTTTGTGTATTAATGGAAACAGTGGAGCATAAAAGCATTACAGATGAAAAGTAAAAAGCCATAGTGAATTTTTCTCTAATTTACACATCTCTAATTAGAGCATAAGATTATTATATTAGATAAATTAGATATGTTTTACACTTAAGACGATCTGGCTACGTGTGGTTGCTGGCCCATGGTTTGCTCATTTGTTACAAAGAGAATCTCCTGCCTACAAAGTAAATGTAATGTGAATCTACATAACCTAGTATGCTGATTCTATTGATTAAATAAATATTATTAATTAAAAGACTAAAGAGGCAAGTGATAAAGTGAGAGAAGATATATGCCATACTTACTTTTAACAAAAGGCTTATCTTACATATAAAAATGTTTACAAATCAATGTGAAAAAGACATATAATCCAATGGAAAAAGGACGAAACACTTGAACAGGTGCTTTAAAAAGAAGAAATCTAAATGGTCAATAAGCATACAGGAGAGTATAATTTCAAGTTGGAAGAAAACTAATATGTAACATTGATGGTCTGATCTCTTCTAAAACTTAAGACTATAAAACAACTAGCTGACCTGCCTCTGGATGTACTGGCTACTCATAGCTAGGGGAAAAAATGCCTAGATCAAGAGTTGATAAATATCTGTTAAGTCTGAATATGACCCTCAAATTCTGATCAGACTCGTTTCCTCATTCTGAGCCTGCATTATGAGCTCAGTCCCATATTTGTGTCCCTTGAGTATGGCGTTATTCTTCAAACAGCTCTTGCTTGAAGCCATCTCTGGGGGCTCTCTGGCCTTCATAAGACAGTGCTTACAAGCAAAGCAGGGAGGTTTAACTTCTTTCTTACCATTGACTTCAGGGTGGAGTGTCACATTAATATTAAAGCACATACACATAAGCAAAAGGTAAGGTATAAATCTACTCTTTCAGGATATCTGACATAATTTGCATTTCATAATATATCTGTTTGGATTCTGACAGGATAGACTAGATGTTAAAATTAACAAAAGCAATTCAAAAGATACCAGGAAGATTGAGAGACTATTGTAAAACTTTCAAGGAAAGACAGTGTACATGTTAGGCCATAAAATTGGAGACCTGGTTTTATGAGATTGGGACTTGAGTACTTTCTTGAAGTCAAAGGATTGTCTGGAATTGTTAAATATGCAAGGTACAAGTTGATTGACACTTTAACAAAATGAAACAAACACCTGAATGAGGAAGCAAATCATATTCTTCTCCTTTTTTTCCATGTTAAAATTTTTTTTATACAGTCTGAACTGATAGTACACACACAGACATTTGACCTTAAGAGGTATTTGCTATTCCTTTTAGTATCTATGGCATACATTGTACCAGAAAGGATATCTTCTGCTATAACTCCATTCAGGAAATTTCCAGTTGCTCCGAGGCAAGCACCTAGTTAAATATCTTTCTGTGTCATGTCTTCTCTTAACAACACACAAGTTGAAGTTCTTAGATTCCTCCTCATCGGGATTCCTGGACTGGAGAAGAGTCACATCTGGGTATCCATTCCTTTCTCATTCGTGTACCTTCTTTCTTTCCTGGGTAATTTCACCATCCTCTTCTTTATCAAGACAGAGCGAAGTCTCCATGAACCCATGTACTATTTCCTGTCCATGCTCTGTTTCTCTGACCTGGGGTTGTCACTCTCTTCCTTACCCACTACTTTGGGGCTATTCCTCTTCAGTATCCACGAAATTCTTGCAGCTGCATGCTTTGCCCAGGAGTTTTTTATCCATCTGTTCACAGTCACTGAAGCCTCTGTGCTGTCTGTAATGGCATTTGACCGATACGTGGCAATCCACAACCCTTTGAGATACAGCACAATCTTAACCAATTCCAGAGTTATCAAAACAGGGGTCTTTCTGACATCCAAGAATGTTTTTTTGATCCTTCCACTGCCCTTTCTCTTGCAAAGGCTGAGATACTGTCATCAAAACCTGCTCTCCCACTCCTATTGTCTCCACCAGGATGTCATGAAGCTGGCATGCTCTGACAACAGAATCAATGTTGTCTATGGACTCTGTGCTGCACTTTCTACTGTGCTGGATTTGGTGTTTATTACTTTCTCCTACATAATGATCTTAAAGACTGTAGTGGGAATTGCATCCCCCAGAGAGCAGGTCAAGGCCCTCAACACCTGTATCTCTCATATGTGTGCTGTGCTCATCTTCTACGTGCCCATGCTGAGTGCAGCGATGCTGCACCGTTTTGCCAAGGACGTGTCTCCTATGATCCACATCCTCATGGCTGATGTATTTCTGCTGGTGCCACCCCTGATGAATCCCATAGTATACTGTGTGAAGACCCGTCAAATCCGAGAAAAGGTGGTGGGGAAAGTTTGTTCAAAAAGAAGTTGATCAAAGGAATGAGAAAGGTAATAAATGTATAGTGATAATGAAATAAGCTTTTAATATTTAGCTTGCAGAAAACGTGATACAGCGAAATGGTCTTGGGTTTTATAGTCAGATAGAGCTTATAGAGCGAACGGCTTTTGATACTCAGTACCCTAAGTATCCCTGTAGTCTTGAAAAAAATTACTTCAGCTCTCTGATTCTCAGATTGTACATCCAAAACTTTGAGCCTAAAAGAGAGACTGGAAGCTTCTCTTCTTGTATTTTAGAATATATGCCAATGAAATAATATGAAAAAAGTACCGATATCAATGTCTGTCTTAAACAAATTGTTTCTGTACATTTTTTCATTTTCCTAGCAAATATAAAATCTGTTACAAGAAGGGCTATAGTGTTTCTGGAGTTTTTCTTAAGGTTCATGATAATGCAGTTGGTCCATTTCCAGAACATCCTGCACATACTCACTAATTTTAATATCTATGCATCGGCAACATATTTAGAAATAAATTAAAACTATAAATGCTATTATTCTGGAAACATACAAGTCATTATTATTATTACCAAGGGTACTTTTTAAAAAGAACCCCAAATGACCATATCTACATTGTCTATTTTAGTGGCCTTTGTAAAAACAAACAAACGAACAAATAAAAACACATTTCTTTTCTCATTTGCACATACTTAACTCTGGTTATTGAGTTTAAAACCCTTTCCTCATATATAGTTTACTCCCACCTCTTAGAATCAGTTAATTATGATCCATTATCTAAGGAGCATCTTTTTTATGATTTAAAAGAAAATTAATAAAGATCTTACTTTCCTCAATCTTCTATTCAGGTAAGATCACATTTTCATTGTGAAGTCTTTTCTGACCATCTTCAGCCTAGATAGGTATTTTTACTTCTGAATGTCAATCTTTCTGCCTTTATTAATCATTTTACATGTCATGTATATTACCTTGTAATCCTAGAATACTATGCATCATTTGTGTATGCATACCTTACTTTCTAGAAGGCATTACACAATTATTTTGTGTTAAAATATGAGTTCCAAGAGACCAGTGACTGTCTTGTTCATTACTTTATACCAGCTACTAGCACAGTGAGTGGCACATAGTATGCACTAAAATAATTTTGAATAAATAAATGAATGAACACTTAACAAACATCAAGAGAACATATATAGAGTCCTAAAAGTTACACACACACATACACATTGCCATGCTCAATCTTCAATTTATAATACTCACTTCATATTTTATTAGTTTCTTCTCCAATACTTCCTTACATTCTCCTTCTGTTATTCCACACTAGCATTTTCAGCTTTCTGTAACGCTTTTAGAAAGCCATACTTACACTTTAACATCATAGAGAAATGAGTTTCTTGCTGCTCATTCATGTCTTTGTTTAACATTTTTTTCCGTGTCCAACATATGCTTCAATGCCCATATGTCCATCTTAGAATTGTAAATAAGGCGATGCACTTTTGTTTTTATGCCATGAATAAATACACTTGAGAGGATAATGAGACAGTGAAAATGATGTTTATTTTGACAAAGGAGAATAGTGAGTAAAGCTAAGAGGTCAAAGAGGTTGAGAAAGTGACTTTAGGGACTCTGTTCAGACTGAGAATAAATCAGGGGTCTTGTCTTTACTCCACATGACACCAGAAGGGCAGCTTCACTGGGGCTGGAGTGAAGGTGAATCACCTATACTTCGAAGAGGGTTCACTTCCATGGTTGGCAATTAATGCTTGTAGTCAGTGGTAAGTATAGCTGAGCTCCTACATACGGCCTCAGTGGCTTGGACTTCTAAGAGCATCACAGCTGGATTCCAAGAAAGAGCATTCCAGGAAGCAGGATGGAAGCTTCTAGTCTTGTTAAGGACTATGCCTGGAAGAGTTATAGTGTCATTTCCACTGCATCTATATTGTTACACATTAGTAAGACCAGCTCAGATTTAAAGGAAGGAGAAATAACTTCCAGCTCTGGATGGGGAAGTGATAAATAATTTGGAGCTGCTTTTAATCCAACACAGACCAAAGTTATTATTATTTTACTTTAATAATAAGATTCATAATCTGAAAACAATGATTAGTGTAGACCTTCACCTAGGTATCTATGCATCTTTATTGCTGAGCTCTGATGGAGACCATTTTGAAGTTGTTCAGCCTGGTGCCACAATAACCACTGCCTCAGAGGATCATCAGATATGACTTGGAATGCTATTATTATTTTACGTTCCTATTCAGTTCTCACATCCATTCCTCTCAGGGACCAAGGAGGCGTGAGGGTATGGCGTAGAATAGAGAGACTGAAGAACCGATCATGCGTCCGCCTCTTTAGTCTGCCTACTCTGCTTCATACTCTCGGTCTTCCTCCTTTAAAGACAATGAAACGCGAATTATTCCCACTTTTTGCCACCTGACATAAAGCCTTCTACAGTGTATATTTTACCAACTTACCATATTTCCCTTCCTAAGAGGAATGCCATTCCTCTCTATAAAAGCTTAATCCAAGCCCCTAAAAGTTCAATTTCATATCTTCCTGCTTCTTCAGGGCCTTGGTGCACCTTCCACGTTTTTGCTATTTTTTTCAATTGCCCTGCTAATAGCTACTCTCCTATAAATACACTTATTTTAAAAGAAAAGCATTTTAAGAGTTACACACCATTGCTACCACAACTTACTCAGTTCTCATTACTTTTTATTGAGTGTATATTAATTAATTTATATATTTACATCTATATAAATCTGTATTTATATCTATATATCACATAGACCTTTTCACATATTACATTTTGCATATTACATGTTTGTTTATTTCTTGTCTTTTCCTTTCTTCTTCTTCTGTCTACTCCCTAGACATGAGCAAATCACTCCAGCCCTTCAGGCAACTAGTATTTACAGATAATAGGGTTTCTGCAAAGATGCACTACCTGCGTTTGAGGCAGGATAATGCTAAGTGGGATGTTTACCAATCCAGGAACTGAATGCCAAAAGTTCACCCAGGCCCTCTGCAAGGAGGTTTTATACAGCTTCTGACTGAGAATTCTTCTAGAATCCTGTCTCACATATCTCTCTATACTCATACAATCATAGAGTAACATTTTAGTTGACAGAATTTCTATTAAACAAGATTTGCATTTCTCATATAACTGAGGTTTGTAGTAATCTCTGTTTCTTCATCTCTGTGTCTCTGTTTACCTCTCTCTTTAGGCAAATATATATTTATCTTTCTATTATGTGTTTTTTTAATATTATTAATTTCACCTTTAACTTTATTAATTATCTCTAGCAGTTTTGTCTATACATACTTTGTGTTTGTTTTTCTAATTTCTTAATACTGTTTACCTCTCTCTTTAGGCAAATATATATTTATCTTTCTATTATGTGTTTTTTTAATATTATTAATTTCACCTTTAACTTTATAAATTATCTCTAGCAGTTTTGTCTATACATACTTTGTGTTTGTTTTTCTAATTTCTTAATACTCTTTTACTTTAATAATTAAAACATTTAAAGTCAATAATTAGACACTTTGGAGAATAAACTGGGCTGCAAATATAATAAAATTATTTGTATGTATATTATATATAAATACATACAGTATTCATTAATTGACAAAAGGTTTAGCATTTTTCCTGGTCAGTAAATAGTTTTAATCAAAATTTGTTTTTGAATATAAAATCTTCAAGTAGACTATATCCATCTACAAGATCTGTTTACAAACTTGAATGAGCAAATAATCTCAATTTGCTAGAAATATTAAAGCTAAATGTTTGGTAACCCAATTTTTCAATACTTTGATTAAAGATGTCTAACCTATTTTGAGCGACATACAAAAAAAAAATAGAGGGTGGGTTCCCTGGGAAGCAGATGCTGAGACAAAGATATATGTATTAAGGAGAAGGAGCAGAATCAGGACTGGGTAGGGTGAGCCATTTGATGATGGTTCAGAGATGATAAAGTCTCTGTCAGTCCAAATGGGAGCTCCCAGACAAATATTTCTTAATAGAGGAGTTTCCCCACTAGTCAGAAAAGGCCAACAGCTTACAACACCACATTACTTACTCAGTATCAGGTCCTAAGAAGAAAGACTTTGGCTGAGAATCTGAGGTAGACCCTGAAGCATTGTTCAGCTAACCACACTCTTTGCAGCTAGGCAACAAATTTCTTTTTCAAGTGGGATCTGAGAGGCGCATCCTCACATCTGTTACACCAAATTAGGCTGATTTACCAAGTAGTGCTTCAGAATCTCAGCTAACTTTAGAATGATTGAAGATAATCAGCAAAAGAGAAAATGTGTATTCTAATGTTGGTTTTTATCTTTTAGATTAAATAGCAGCTTTGTCACAGAAAGTTCTTAATTTGGTTGCTCTAAATGTGTATATGAAAACAAAATAGACTAGAAGAATTGCCTTGATGTAATCATAAATTTTGTTTGCACCACATTGTTCCAAGTACATTTCTGAACAAAAGGTTTCTTAATTTTATAAGAACACTGTTTTTACCACATCGCTGTCCACTACCAAAATATGCATTTGTATCATTGCTATATAAAATATTTAATGTTGAACTTCTGAATTGAATTTAAAATAGCATTCACAATAAAGTTAGGTATCTTATAGACTAAGATTTGGACAGAATAAATGTTGAAAACTTTACTTTTAGTAATGGATCAAAATAACATAATTAAACTTATATAATTATCTGATTTTTTATCTCAGGCATGTGAACAGTGATTTTAAATTAACAGAATCTAGCTTTTGCTAATGGACCCATCATCATAACAGCTATCCCTTCTCTTTTCACAATAACTAGAAGACTTGAAATAAAAAGGGAGTAAAATTAATTTGAAATAAATTAAATATATGAAAAATCATGAATTTTTAGGGCAACATATAAATCTACCTTCAGTAGTTATATATAATAAGCACCTTCAGATACAGTTCTAAAGAAAATGTATAAACTTTTGAAATGGATGCTAATTGTTTTTTTCAATTGTT